GCACCTGTGTTTGTACTGGGGATACAACAGTGCGGGGTGAGGGGGACAGACTAACAGCTCTGCCTCATTTGAGCTCCTGGTTTCATGAGGAAGACAAAAATCAACTGCGTAAGTTAATGTCAGACCAGGAGCGGGGGGCTCATGCCTATCATCCCAGCAACTCGGGAGGCTGAGGCAGAAGGATCCCAACCTCAAAGCCAGCCTCAGCAAATTAGTGAGGCCCTAAGCAATTTAGCTAGACCTTGTCTCAAAAAAAAAAAAAAAAAAAAAAAAACTTAAAGGGCTGGGGATGTGGCTTAGTGGTAAAGCACCCCTGGGTTCAATCCCCAGTATCAAAAAAAAAAAAAAATTTTAATACCTTTTGTAGTTGTCGATGGACAGATTGCCTTTATTTTATTTGCTTATTTTCATGTCATGCTGACGATTGAACCCAGGGCGTCATGCATGCGAGGCAAGCGCTCTGCCACTGTGCTACAGCCCCAGCCCTCAAAAATTTTTTTCAAAGGGGAAGTAGTGTGGAGGCCAATGTGGCTAGTAGGAAGAGAGAAAGAGGAGGAAGTGAGGACAGAGGGATTAGGAAAGGCCAGACTGTGTAAGGCATTTGGGCGTCATTCAGAGTGGAAGCCCTGCTATGCTGAGTGCTTTTGCGAGTGAGTGAAGGGGCTGGGCATATTCCAAAGCTGCCCTGCTGTGCATGATTGGGGTCTGCAATAGTTTGATCAGCAAGTGTCCTATTTCCCCGGGGTTAGCAGGGAACGCACTGACTATGCGGTAGTGCCCATGAATTACCACCAGGTGGAGACTCTGGGTCATGTTTCTAACTCGTGGATTGATTCCTGCAGGTCTCCTTAAGACTGGACCCCAGGTCTAGAGCATCTGATGGGTAGCTCTGGGGTGGTCCAACAATTTGCATTTCTAACAAGTACCAGGCAAGGCCGTGCTTCTGGTTCAGGCACCCCCACTTTGAGAATCTCTGCTTGGAACCCTGAGGTAGAAACCAGGAGACCTCCCCATGTCACCATATTGGAGGTGTCTGACACAAACATTATACCGTTATCCTGCCAGTTACATTCAAAATGAAACCCAGGTCTCTTACCAGGTGGTCTGTCCGCACCCACCACAATACAGGCCCTGACATCTTCTCCCACCTTATCTTCTTCCACTGTCTAAACAATGACTATGGACTTTCTCTGTTCCTTGAAGCCTTTTCTGTCCCAGGACCTTTGCACATGATGTGTCCTGCCTGGGATGGCTTTCCCCCAACTTTTCCATTGGCCCTCTCCTCTTGCTCCTCAAATCCCAACTTCAGTGTCTCCTCATCAAAGAGGCTTCCCTGGCAACCCTCTGGGAAGCTCTCCCTCCTGTTAATCACTGTCTCTTTCCTTATAGTGGCTTATGGCAGTCTGTAATTATTTATTTCCTATCTTGGTTAGTTGCCTGTCTACTGTCTGGATTCTTAATCTTTGAGGGCAGGGACCCAGTCCGTCTTATTTTCTGCTTCACCCTAAGTGCCAGGACAGTGCCTGGCATCAAGCAGGATCCCAGGAAATACTGGTTGCATATGAAAAATACTTTCCCAGGTTCTCCCAGAGAGCCGGAGAGTGAGAAAGGACTCCACGGACAAGGTGCCCACAGACCACGTGACGCTCAGCATCCCTTCGCCCATGCCCTGCCCAGGGGCCCAGAGGGGTCCAGAGGAAATCCAGATGAGACCATGTCTGCAAACCCTTTATATCCAGTAAGGCTTCCTAGGTGACTGCCACCTCATTTGGACAGTGGGACTCCCTCAGAGTCCTGGAGTTAGTGGACAAAAACCCCGTATAAACAACTAAGCAAAGACGATTTGGTACTTTAAAATTTATAAATCCCTTCGCCCTCCACTACTGCATTCTCAGGTAAAGAAAAAACTAGTCCCGGCTGGGCGCAGTGGCCCATGTCTGTGATCCCAGCGCCTAGGGAGGCTGAGGCAGGGGGATCGCGAGTTCAAAGCCAGCCTCAGCAACAGTGAGGTGCTAAGCAACTCAGTGAGACCCTGTCTTGAAATAAAATATAGAATAGGGCTGAGGGGTGTGGCTCAGTGGTCCAGTGCTCCCCTAGCATGGGTGAGGCACTGGGTTCGATCCTCAGCGCCACATAAAAATAAATGAAATAAAGGTACTGTGTCCAACTACAACTAAAAAATATATTAAAATAAAAATAAAAGAGAAAAACAAGTCCCAAACTTGAAAATAGTGCAAAAGAAGGGCTGGTGTCAGCCGGAGCGTTGTCCCAGGGCCACCCTAGGGCTACTGAGCTCCCTGGGGATTGACTAGCACTGAAGAGATCTTTTGTTGACTTACCATTTTCGTCTTTATCAGGGCCCACTCTTGAAGAAGTCCACTTGTCTATTTAAGTTACCAATGATCTTTGTCCAGTGGAAAGGTCACCACAAAGATGACCGTTTTTTTGTTCTGTGGGACATCACCTGGTCTCATGATCTTATTTTAGCATTCTTTCTTTCACTGTCTATTAACATTTCAGATTCTCTCTTTGATATATATATATATTAGTTGTCAGTGGATCTTTTATTTATTTATTTACATGCGGTGCTGAGGATCGAATCCAGGGCCTCGTGGGCCAGGCCAGCGCTCTACCCCTGGGCCCCGCTGCCTTCTCTGCTTCTTGAAGCAGCTTCACCTCCCTGCCGATGCCCTGCCTGTGATCTCAGCCCATGTTCACTTTTTATTTGCGGGAGGATCATATTTTTTAATTTTAAAAAATGATGCATTGGAGCCAGGTGCATTGGCACATTCCTGTAATCCCAGCAGCTCGGGAGACTGAGGCTGGAGAGTCACGAGTTCAAGGTCAGCCTCAGCAACTCAGAGGCCCTGAACAACTCAGCGAGACCCTGTCTCTAGAATTAAAAAAAAAAAAAAAAAAAAAAAAAAAAATATATATATATATATATATATATATATATATATATATATGAATGACTGAGGATGTGTCTCAGTGGTTAAGTACCCCTGGGTCCCTGGGTTCAATCCCCAGTAAATCCCCCACCCCACAAAAAAATTGTTGGCTCTAGGGCCATCTTAGTGAGGTTGGATAATTATTCCTGTTTTTCAACGGGTCTAATGAAGCTCAGAGAAGGATAATCATTGTCTCCAATTGCCAAAGGGTACAGCTGGCACTTGACCCAGATCTGCCTGACCCCAGAGCCCCCCATGCCTCAGTGGTATCACGCCCATGTGCCCAAGGCAGCTCTGTGGACTAATTTTGGTATCAGGGATTGATCCCAGGGCACTTAACCACTGAGCCACACCCCCAGCCCTTTTCATGTCTTATTTTGAGACAGGTTCTTGCCGAGTTGCTTAGCGCCTTGCTAAGTTGCTGAGGCTGGCTTTGAAATTGGGATTCCCCTGCCTCAGCCTCCCGAGCTGCTGGGATTACAGGTGTGAGCCACCACACCTGGAGCTCTTGGGAATATATATATAATCTTTATGCACACACACACATATATATCTATACACATAGTTTTTTTGTTTTGTTTTGTTTTGTTTTTCAGTACTGGGGTCAGAACTCAGGGTATTCTACGCTGGCCTCAAACTTGCAATCCTCCTGACCCAGCCTCCTGGGAGTGCTGCAGGGAGCCTGGCTCTGTGCACTTTTTAAACTTGTTCAATTTAATCCCCACAATTTCCATGAACTATTACTATCTCCATTTTAGAGAAGAGGCGATGGAGCTGAGAAATATCTGCCCAGTGTCACCCACCTATTCCAAGGTCGAAGTCACAAATTTTGGAGTTGGGCAGACCTTGGTCTCCCCTCTAGCTCAGGGGAGACCCTAGCTCGGAGGCCCTAGGCAGAGCTTAAGTGGGGGTAAGAGCCCCTCCCGCTCAGTAGCTGCTGGTGATGCCCATGAAGAGGGACCAGAGCCTCTCCCCTGCCTCTTCTGTTCTGCAGTCAGGAGGGAAAGAGCCACCGATCTGTTTGTCCCCAGCCTGGACAAGGCGTCCTGGGAGGAGGAGAAAGTGCCCGGGAAACCCGGGGAGGGGGTTGCTCAGCAGGAGGGGGGGCAAAGAGTTCCCACGTGTGCCCCGGTGGGAGCAGGTGTGGAAGGCAGGAGAGGGACTGCAGTCTGCCGGCCAGGGACAGGGACAGAGCTTCAGCTTTAGAGTCAGGCCACCTGAAGCTCTTTGGGCTCCAGCTTCCAGATGTGGGAAACGGAACGAGGACAACTCTGTGTCTGGATTATCCTGCGGCCCCTGGGGGCAGTGGGCCCAGCTGGAGGGGTGCCATTCCAGAGTGCTTCCAGGAGCTGACCTCCACTGGCCTTTCTGGACCCTGAGTTTGTTAACGATCGTGTCATGTTAAGGATGGTGACGGCAGGCAATGTCCGAGTCAGCCTAGGAATCCCTCAGATTCCAGGCTCGCTGTGCCAGGAACGTGGCCCAGAGACACTGCCAAGGGTGGCCCAGGACTTGGCAGTTTCCAAGCCCTCCCACCTCGTGGCCTTGCGTCCCGTGCTAAGACAGGTTCTCTGCTTTCTTTCACTCCTTCAGGATCCCTCCACGTAGGTGCTGCCATGACCTTCGTTTCTCAGATGAGGAAACTGAGGTTCAGAGAGGTCTTGGGACTTGCTAAAGACTTCACAGCCAGCGGGGGCCAGAGCTGGGTCTGGAGCTCAAACGGCCTCTTCCCAGGCTGGCCTCTGAGTGAAGCCATGGACATAAAGCAAGTTGGAGGCTGGGAAGAGGGACCCTGGGCTCCCCTGGCCACTCCTGCGTGACCTCTGTTCCTCCCAGCCCTCCAGGAAGTGGCTGAGGGGTCCGGGGAGAGGTGGGATGGGTGCTGAGCCCGAGGGAGGCGCAGGGCCCAGGCCAGGAAGGCAGGGAGGAGAGGGGAACGGAACACCCGCTCCTCCCTGGAGCAGCTGAGGGCAGAGATAAAGGCCTGGGGAGACTAGCAGGGCCAAGATGGGGAGGAAGGGAAGAGGCCGCGGGCGGAAGGAACAGCTGCACAGGGAGGAAGAGTCCCCAGTCCCAAGGGAGAGGCCGGGGTGGGCTGGAGTGGGCTGGGGCTCTGTGTCCCAGGCCCCAGCCTCCACAGCTTCAGCAGGTGGCAGGACCCTGCACTGGGCAGGGGCCTTCCCTCGTCCACGCAGGGGCCACTGCGCCGAGCCAGGCTTCTGATCCTCGGGGTCCAGCTGAATGACCAGGTGAGCCACAGCACGGTGTCGGACACTCACTCATCCATTCATCCAACACAATCCGTGGCGAGCTCTCAACTTGCCATTTGGGTGCCCAACAGGAAACGAAGTCCCTTGAAGAGGGGCTAACTCCTTCTCCAAGGAGCCTGCAGTCTCATGGGAGAGGTGGACAAACACTGGAAAGTGAATCAACGTTCTGTGTCACTCAGGGTTGGAAAGCTGGGCAGGGGATGGGACTGGCTGGAGCGGTGCTGGTTTTGAAGATGGCCAGCGAGGGTCTATCTGAGAAGGTGACATTGGAGCAGAGATCTAATAAGAGGTGAGGTGGCAGCTGTGTGAGCCTGGGGGAAGAGGGTTTCTGGCAGAGGAAACAGCAAGTGCAAAGGCCCTGCGGCATAAATAGGCCTGACAGGGAGTAGGGAGAGGGCAGAGTGGGGAGGCCAGTGCAGCTGGTGGCTGGTGAGAGGAAGGTAATGAAGAGGAGAGCAGATGGGATGGGGGTCAGGGGAGCCGATTCTGTGGGGTCTCAAAGTCTACTGCAGGGACTTCAGCTGTTTCTCACCAGCCACCGACACCAGAGGCTTTTGAGCAGAGGAATGTGTGAGAGAGACTGGGTCTTATCAGGATCACTCTAATTCCCTGGCTGCCTCTGGAGAATGGGACTGGCCAGGGCGGCAGCGGGGAGCCCAGCAGAAAAGCTGGTGCAGCTGGCCAGTGGGGGCGGCAGCTTGGCCAACAATCTGGGGTGTTAAATTCCAGCAGAAACGAAAACACTTCTATATCGCCTGCTTGCAATGGGTCGGCACTATTTTAAGAACTTGATATTTAATATTCTTTTAATCCTCAATACAGCTTTTAGGTAGATTTAAAAATTGTGTATCTATGTCTATTTGTATCCCACCGTCTTTTAAAAATTGAGGTGAAATTCACGTCCCACAAATCAACCCCTTTATAGTGTAAGATCCAGTGGCATTTAATAAATCCTCAAGACTGGGGAGCCACCTCTCCATCTAGCTCCAAAACCTTTCCTCACCCCCAAAGAAAACTCCGTATCCGTTAAGGGTAGATAGATAGTATTTTTATCTGCATTTTACAGATGAATAAGCAGAGGCAAGGCCAAGAAGTCACATGCCCCAGGTCACACAGCCAGGAAATGGAACAAGCCAGCCATGGGGGTTGGCAGGGACATGTGGACAAGTTGTCAAGGATGGGTTTGAGCCCCTTTTGGGACCCCCAGATAGCTCCGCGGAGCTGCCTTCTAGGGAGGGGAGGTCTGCATCGCTTGCTGGGTTCCTGTTTTATGTAAGGGTGTGGGACACTCGAGGCCAGAGAAAAGAAACCATCAAGAGGGCTGCGTTGCGGGACAGGCATGGTGGTGTGCAGGTGCACACCTGGAATCCCAGCAATGTGGGAGGCTGAGGCAAGTTGGGGCAACTTAGCAAGACCCTGTCTCAAAATAAAAAAATAAAATAAAAAGGGCTGGGGATGTGGCTCAGTGATAAACTGCCCTTGGATTCAATTCCTGGTCCCAACCTGGGGGGCAGGGGAGAAGGCTGCACTATGACCCCAGCATCTTCCTCCAGGGTGGCATGGGGTAGGGATGGGGGTCTGGAACCAGGCTGTTGGACCCAGTTCCTTTCTCCCACCTGCTGGCTGCACTATCCTGGGCTAGACCTCCCTTCTCCCACCTTTTCCCTTTTCTGTCAGGTTGAAATAAGAAGTACACCCTCCTCATTGGATGTTGGGAGAACGTGCGGTACCTGTGCGTAAAGCTGAGCGCGGCCGTGGAGGAGCTCGCCTTCCCCTTGCACCTCCCCTCCCACCCCTGGAGAAAAATTAACCAGATAGTTAAATGCAACCTTGGTGTTGGGCCTCACAAGTCAGCTGGGATGAGGTAGGTACGCTCTGGCACCAGGAAGAAGGCAGTCATAGGATTCTCAAGTTGGAAAGACAGCGCCAGTTTTTAAAGCTCAACTGTGTCAGGATATAGCCAACATCAAATCAAAGGCACCCATTTTTTCCTGTTTTAAGTGTACCTTTTCATAAGGGTTTTATTGGTACCGGGGACTGAACCCAGGGGCACTTAACCACTCAGCACATCCCCAGCCCCCCCCCCCACACACACACCCGTTATTTATTTGGACAGGATCTCACTAAGTTGCTGAGGCTGACCTTGACCTTGGAGTCCTCCAGTCTCAGCCTCCCAGAGCCCCTGGGATTACAGATGTCACAACTGGAGACCCTTTAGTAGAGGGGCTGGGAAGGCCAAGGACACCCCCTTCTGGCTGAAGTCACAGGCCCCCTAGACGGCAGCTCCAGCCTCAGGCCAGCACCTTCTCCAGATGGGACACCCCTTCTGGCAGATCAGGACCTAGACAGAGTGTCTGGGTGCTCTCACCGGGTCCTCCAAATCCATTTCTGTTTGACTCAACTCGCTGGGTCCCCGGGGCCCAGTTCTCTACCCTGGAGACTGGAGATGGGGCCAGCCCCTGCCCAGGCATCAGTGGAACGTGCGCTCTGGGTGGGAGAGAGGAGGGCGAGGGTGAGGCCGGAGGAACGTGTGAGGCTGTGCGTGCGTGTGGAGCGGAGTTCCCTGCGCTCAGCCAGGTATCTGGACTAATGGTCCATTTCCCCTGGTCCACGGGCCTCCGCCGGGCCCCCAGCTGCCCCGATGGGCCAGGTCAGCCCCCACAACAGGAGCCCCCAGCCGCTCCCCATTCGGCTTTCCTTGTATTGTGCGCAGCCTGGTTCCTCGAGGAAATGGGGCGGCTGCTGGGTGCGGGGGCGGCCGCCAGCAGCCCCACCCCCTTCCCCCCATTGTCACTCCTGGCTGCGGCCCCTGGCCCCTGCTGTCCACTCTAAAAATAGTCCTGTTCACAGGGAGCCAGCCCCACCCCTGAGCACTGGGCGTGGGGTTGGGGTTGCCAGGACAGAACTGCCCTGGGGACCAAGGTGTCCCCTCCAAGTGACCAGGGTCAAAGCGTGTGAGGGCCGTGTGACCATAGGCCTCGATATTTTCCTCCTGGAGCTCAACTTCCTCAGCTGTGAAATGGCGACAAGGCTACCTAGCTGCGGAGGGCTCTGTTCTTGTCCTGCTGGTGGTGGGTGCTGCCTGAGCACCCCAAGAACCAAGCAGAGGGTGTAACATAACTTTACCTTCCTCCTAACTAGGGTGGGTGCCCAGGATCTCTAGTTCCCTCGCAGGGGAGCTGGAGGGGCCCCTTTGCAGATCTGCTGGGACAGGTACCTGTTCCCCATCCTCAGATCTGCAAGCTCTCCTGTGGATTATGAGGCCAGGTTGGGGCCCGAACCCATGTCTCTGGCCTCTGAGGGCTGTGTTTTTTCCGCTTCAAGGGGCTGCCACCATCTGATGACTCCAAGGACTTCCTGGCTGGGGTAACCCTGCCTTTCAGTCCACAAACACATGATTCATCACGAAGGAAGATGCAGGGCAGTAGGTGTTGGGGGCTGGGCAGGGCCCCTGCAGCCTTTGCAGATGACCAGCTGGTCTCAGATGGCAGGAGGTCGTGGGGTTGGGCCTTGGGAAGGAGCTTGCCCTGGGACCTGTCTGTCTCCCAGCCTCTTTTTCTCTCTCTTCCTTTGTTCTTTTAAACTCTGACCCTATTACACACGTGAATTCTTTTTATCAAAATCTTGAACATGTAGAATTTCTTTTCTGTGGTCACAGTTGCAGTTTTACATGTGTCCGGGTGATTCTCTGTGTTCCCCACCAATCGTGAGTTCTAGAGTGGATGAAGACTAGCATTTTTATTAATTCCTGTTTCCCCCCAACAAGGACTAACAAATGTATTTTCCCACACAAATCTTAAGAACCTGCAAGTTTGTCTCTACCGCTTATATTTTGGGGGGGGGCTTGTGGGGACCCTTGTCATAGAGATTTGCTGTCAATCTTGTTCATGGGACTTTGGTTTTGCTACCTTATTGCTTTGCACGTTCTTACATGGGGACTTGGAAAGATACAAAACCTGTTTTATACCACAGCCCCTGCCGTGCTCCCCAGAACCTCATGAAAAACGTCAGCACTCAGACGTCCAGTGATGGTTCTCCTTGGAGCCCAGAGATGACCTTGGTGCCAGTTTGGGGCTCCTTGATGTATTTCATGTGTATCTAGCAAACTCAGGACCCAGCCCTGTTCTTACACAAAGAACAGTTGGCCATACACGCTGCTTTGCTTCTTGCTTTTTGTATTGCGTTAACAGAGTGTGTGACTATTTTCCAGATTAATGTACCTAGTACTTTCCCATTTAAAAATAAAAATGGCTGTTCGTAAAGTGGGATGTTTAAATTTTTTTCCTGGGAACTTCTCTGCCACCTGGTGAAAGGATGGACTCCTTATCATCACAGTATTTTAAATGCATAAAATACAGTTCATACCATTCTGAAGGAAGCCAATAATGTTGAAATGCTATTACTACAATATTGTTTTTATTTTACTTTACTTTTTGGTGCTAGGGAGGGAATCCAGGGCCCTCCACCTGTTAAGCACGTGGTCTCCACTGAGCTACATTCGCAGCCCTGATTGTTGTAATATTAACTGGGGTGTGCTACGCGGTGATACGTGAGCTTCTTCATTTTTTTTTTCCTCCAGTATTGAGGGTTGAACCTGCAGGTGCTTTCCCACGGAGTCACATCCCCAGCCCTTTTTATGTTTCACTTTAAGACAGGGTCTTGCTAAGTTGCCCAGGCTGCCCTTGAACTTGCAATCCTCCTGCCTCAGCCTCCCTACTCTCTGGGATTCCAGGTGAGCCTTTGGCTACAGGAGCCTCTTAATCAGCATATAGAAAGGAAGAGGTCCTCAGCAGTAGGATGTGGAGGGTCTCCCACCCCTGGGTTGTGGAACTAAAGTATCTTGGCTTCTGACAGAGCCACTGCCAACCCTGTCCTGACTCATGTGGTTCACATTCATATTGAAGGAAGTGCTAAATTTCAGTGAGAAGTTAGTGAATATAAAGTTTTTACCAGGCATGTGGCACACATCTGTGATCCCAACAAGTAAGGAGGCTGAGAGGAGGATCACAAGTTCGAGGCTATCCTCAGCCACTTAGTGAGACCCTGTCTCAAAATTAAAAAATTTAAAAAGGACTGGGAATGTGGCTCAGCGGTTAAGCACCCCTGGGCTCAATCCCCGGTACCAAGAAAGTAAAATTAAATAAAAACAAAGTTATTATTTTTCTCCCCTTCCAACTTCATAGAGTCCCTGAGTTCAAGAACCCATGCTGAAAAATGTGTCAGTCCCTCCCTCTCTTTTATTGATATATTTCTTTAGGGAGCTACTGGGATTGAACCCAGGGGTGCTTAACCACTGAGTCACATCCCCAGTCCTTTTTATTTAGAGACACGGTCTCGCTGAGTTGCTTAGGGCCTCACTAAGTTGCTGAGGCTGGCTCTGAACTTACAGTCCTCCTGCCTCAGCCTCCTGAGGCGCTGGGATGACAGGCATGCACTGTCCCTCTCTGAATTCAACCCGTCTGTCGTGGAGAAGTCACCCAGTCTCAGCATTTCCCCCAGTCTTATCTTGGTGCAGAGCTGGGGAAGCCTGACAGTGGACTTGGATCATCCTGCCCTGCGGGTGGCAGAGCCTCGTGCCCACTCCCGGCTGGGTTATTCCCCGGCTCTCCCGACCAGCCCAGTGGCAGGGAGCTCAGCTCACTGGCCAGCCAGGAGCAGGTTGGCAGCTGGTGTCCTGTCCCAGGAGTGACCCTGCCCCGCCCTGGTTGCACAGCTGTGGATGTGACAGGACCTTTGGCTCCGGTTCACCCCGGCACATTCCTGGCTCAGCCACTGTTTTTTGTTTTTTTTTGATGACTTTTTCTCCCACACCCCTCCCACCCCTTTTCCTCAAAAATGCTGTGTCTTTCCCCAGAGGGTCCCTCTGGGCGGCGGCTCCGGGGAGGGAAATGTGGCCTGGATTTCCTGGAACACATGGAGCTGGAGTCCCGTGACGGGAGGAGGGAAGCCACCAGCAGCCAGGGACCCCCTCCCAACATCGCTGGGCCTCGCTGGAGAAGGGGACATGTCCCCACGTTCCCATTCCACCGGGCCCTCTGCTTGCAGGCCAGTGACTGCGCCCCTGGAGAATCTCAGCTCCGGAGCCGTGAACAGGGTTTGCTAAGGCTGGTGGGACGGTCCAGCGAGGCCATGAGGGTGCATGGCCCTTCCCAGACCGGGGGCAGCTGGGGATGCCTGTTTTGGGTCGCCTTGGGGACAGGACTAAAAACTTTCTTCCTTCCTTCATTCATGTGACAAATATTTGTTGGATCACGATATTGTGCCCCCAGGAGTTCACAGACGCAAACACACAAACCCCTTCCCCATGGGCAGTACTCCAAGGAAAGAGAAACCAGGGGCAGGGTAATGGTCCTGAGGTGCTGGGGAGGCCTCTGGGCGGTGACAGAGGGAGCAGTCCAAGGTGGGGAAAGGGCTGGGTGCAGTGGTGCAGGCCAGTAATCCCAGCAGCTCAGGAGGCTGAGGCAGGAGGATTGAGAGTTCAAAGCCAGCCTCAGCAACTCAGCAAGACCCTAAGCAACTCAGTGAGACCCTGTCTCTAAAAAAAGTACAAAATAGGGCTGTGGATATGGCTCAGTGGTTGAGTGTCCCTGAGTTTAATCCCTAGTTGGCACCCCCAAAAAAGAAAGGCGGGGGAAGGAAAGGGCTGGGGGCTCTGGGGCCACACAGGGGCTCTGGCTCCATTGATGGGAAGCCCAAGGGCTCTTGAGCCAGCACTGATACAGCTATAACACAACCCGCTGTGGTGGGGGGGAGACCCACGGGTGGTGGACCTGTGGAGCAGGGCTCTGAGGTCAGCTTGGCACCTGGATGCTGCTCCTCCCCAGGTCTATAGATGGGATGTGAGGCCTTGTGTCTTTGAGCCTCCGTTTCCCCCTTGGCCAAGTGAGCTCAGAGCTGGACTTGGTGAATCACACCTGATGTTTCAGTGACTCAGAAGGCCAAGGCAGGAGGATCGCAAGCAACTTGGCCAGACTCTGTCTCAAAAAATAAAATTGTGGGGGATGTAGCTGAGTGGTCGAGTACTCCTCAGTGCAATCTCTAGTACCAGATAAATAAATAGTAAGGGTGCTCGTGGCACTCTGGTGATTGGTAGGAAGGGCACGGCCACAGCCCTCCATGAGTGGGAGTTGCTCTTGCTTTTCTTTTTGGTACTGGGGATTGAACCTAGAGACACTTAACCACTGAGCCACATGCCCAGCCCTTTTTATTTATTTATTTTTGAGACAGGGTCTCATTAAGATGTTTGGGGCCTCGCCAAGTTGCTGAGGCTGGCTTTGCAACTCTAGATCTTCCTGCCTCAGCCTCCTAACCTGCTGGGGTGACAGGTGTGCGCTGCACTGAGCCCAGCTGGGAGCCACTCTCTCTAGACCCTCCTAGGAGTGGAGCCACTTTCTGGGGCAGAGTCAAAAGCTAGTCTTCAGCCCACATTAGGCCAGTGGCTGTGTAGATTTGCATGACATCAGGGGCCAGATCTGCAGTGGAGCTATCCCTGAATTGTCTGCAGCCCTCTTTCCTTTCTGGGCCCATAGATCGATTTTAGGGAACCCCTTGGGCGAGAGAAGGGACAGGGTAGAAAGAGACCAGGGTGTTGAGTTTCTCTGAGGTCTCAAAATGCCCTGCCAATCACCCTGCCTTCCCCAGAGGTGGCTGGGGACCACCCAGTTTGGAGCTGGTTCTCCTTTTCTCTTTCCCCTGAACGAAGCCTCAGTTTCCCCGTCTGTCAGGTGGGCAAGCAGGCCCTCACCCTGCTGGACAGGGAGGTTTGTCATGCAGGATATGCTCGGATAGGACCCTGCCCTCCCGAAGGAGGGCCCCGCCTGCCCAGGCACTGGGCTAAGAGCCTCCAAGTATTAGCTGACAGCAGGTGCCATCCGGCCACTCCACTGGACTGAACCGTGGTGGCTTCCCTTTGCCTCCAGTTAAAGAACAGTCTTCTGCAGGGGTGGATGGGTGTGGCAGTGAGGTCTGGCTCTGCCCACCTCACAAGCCAGACAGCGTCCCTGCTCTCTGTGTCCTTAAGAACAGGCCTCCTGGACCCACCTCAGTACCCCCAACTTCGTTCCTGGCTCAGGGCATTTGCACGGCTCCTGGGACACTTTCCCCTTGGCCGAGGAATCTCTCTGCTCAGCTCCATCAAAGTCCTCTTGCCAGTGGATGCCCACCCTGACCTGCAGACTGGGTTGGGTCTCATACTACACATCCCCTCTCTGCTGCCACCTCCTCTCCTGATGACACCTGTCACTTGTGATTTCACTTGGTGTCTCACTGCCACGACCAGGTTGCTGACTCCCTCCACGTCAGGACTGTGTGTCCCATGAGGGCAGAGATGTTTTCTCCCTCACAGCTGTATCCCCAACATCCAGCGCAGTGCCTGCACCTAGTACATGCTCAATAAATGCTTTTGGGTGAATGGAAGAATGACGTCCTCTTGACAACCTGAGGATCCTCCTTTACAGATGAGGAACGGAAGGCACAGAGAAGGCAGGTGACCTGTTTCCAGGTCACACAGTCACAGAACCAGAGGGTCTCTGCTGGGGGTGTCTCCCTGTAAGCTGGGCCCAGAGGGTGGGCAGTTGGGGTTATCTGGGGAGGAGCTAGGACCATCTGGACGGAGCCCCACCCATCCTTGTTTTCTCCACGCGGATGGCGATTTGTGGCTGTTTTCCTCAAGGGCGACTCAGGTGACCTTCAGGTTGGGGCCCGCTGGGTCCCTAGAGCCTGCTGGGCGGAGGGCCCAGTCTGGCGGGGCTGCCTTCCTCGCCCCTTTGCCCACCCGCTGGCTTCACGCACAGATTACAACTTCCCCTCCTCGGCTGTCTTACGCAGGCCACCTCCGGCTCGCCATTGTCTCATTGTTTGCCGAGGGAAGCGCCAGGAGGAAATTAACCCGCTGCTCACCCCAGCAGCGAGTTTCACCCCCAGTCCCCGCTGGGAACGCCTGGGGGCGGGGCGGGGCTGGGGGCGGCTGCCACCGGGCAGGGGCACGGCCAGGGGGGCTGCCTGCTCCGAGGGCCTGGCCTGCACGTGGGGGAACTGGAGATTCCATGGGAGGGGGACAGGGATCTTGTCCTTAGGGACCCTGAGCAGGAGATTCCCAGTCAAATGCCTCAGGGCCAGGCAGGTGACAGAAATCTGAATACGTGCAAGCAACAGGGAGTGGTGGGGCATGTGGCAAAGTGTGGCTACATAGATCTTCCAAAGGCCTTTAGATTCAGATTTTATTTCAATATGGTGTTATTCTTGTTTCTTTCTTTTTTTTCTT